GGTTTGCAAGCCGGAGCCACTGAGCGAGTTGATCTGCAAGTGCAGCAGTCGCAGCCTGCTCAGCAGAGAGAGACTTCGGCCCTTGCCAGCAGCTCCACCAGTCCAGTGCACCAGCTTGGTTTGCAAGCCGGAGCCACTGAGCGAGTTGATCTGCAAGTGCCACAGTCGCAGCCTGCTCAGCAGAGAGAGACTTCGGCCCTTGCCAGCAGCTGCACCAGTCCGGTGCTCCATCAAGGTTCAGCGGCCGCGTTTTCTGAAATGCCTCAAGAAGAGATGTTGCAAAAGTTCCTGGTGCACCTTGGAGCACCGATGAATGGCACGCTTCAGGCACTTCCAGAGGTGTTTCCAAGCGGGGCAACGTTCATTTCTGCAAGCGGCTCAGTCCATGCAGCGCCTGCAGGAGGCGAGCAGCTGGGCCAGCGACTTCCCGTGCAAGAGATCCGTGAGCGCAGAGAAGATGCAGTACATGACCCGCGTGAAGAGGTCGCTGGATACAAGGGACATTCCAGTGTTTATGGTGGAAGCACGCGGACCTGGAGACAGATTTGGAGACCAGACAGTGGAGGGATTGCACCATGCAAAGGCACTACTAGCCTTCTGCACGTCCGACTATGGCGCCCTGACGGGCGCCCGCTACGAAACCTACGTCGAATTGCAATATGCGCACCAAAAGGGGCTGCGGATCATCCCGGTGCAGCTCTGCAGCACCTTTCCCCCACAGCCTGACTGTGCTAAAGGGCGGGCCCTCAATGACGTGGCATTCCTGACTGACGTGATACGTATCAAGGACGTCAACATGCAGGAGCCAGAGCGGGTTGCTGAAGAGGTCGCCACTGCCTGGACTTCGTGGCTCGAGCGGGAATGACGTGGTGCTACAGATTTCTCGGGGAGTAGTTGCAAAAAGCTGCCCTTCGACTGCATTCCGTAGAATCGTAGAAGTCTCTTTGCGATCCTGAAGGGAGATGTCTAGGTTTTGAGCGCACGATGATCCTCTGAGGATCCATTCGTAGTGTTTTTGCCGGGTTTCCTCTTTGATCTTAGCTGAATCCAGCACCCCAAGCTTCAGCATGCGCCGCCCTCGTCGACAAAGTTATACGCATGAGAACAACAGCAAGGCAGGCTGAGAAGCCCTCTGAGGTGTCCCCATGATGCGTACACCAAACCCCTAAACCCTAAGCCCCTAAACCCTACGGTGTAGTTTTTTAAATATGTGGAGGGCGGCCAGGCCCCCGGAGCCATGGAGGTAGTAGAACAGTGCTGTTTATTAAGTCGTGAAATGAAAAACTCCACCCCTCCTCCACCCCTCTGCCCCTCCACCCCCCCCTTCCACCACCCTTCCACCACCCCTCCACCACCCCTCCACCACACCACCCCTCCACCACCCCTCCACCACACCACCCCTCCACCACACCACCCCACCCCTCCACCCCTCCGCCCTCCCCACCCGCCTTTATCGCCCTCCACCACCCCACACTTCGCGGAAAGGAGGGGTGGAGGCTGTGTTCCCGGCTCCCCTCCACCCCTCCACGTGCAGCTGACACGAGTCCCAGCCATCGCACTTGTAATGCGCCACACGACATACCTGTTCGGAGCTTCATGCCACTGCGGCCTACTCCGAGTTGGCAGCGGGTTTGTATTCCAAACAAAGCCTCTTTACATCCTCTTTACTAGTGACGCCAGACTACCGGAGCCATACCTGTGCGTTCACCAGTTGTGAGAGGCGAAACCCTAAACAAAAGAGATCTTGCACGGAACGTTGCCTTCACAATGCAGTAAGTGTCGTGGGTTGCTTCGCCTTGTTGAGCTGGAGGCGGGGCTCTCCAATCAACGCGCCCTGGATCCGGAGGATGAGGCAGTTCCACAAGGTGCCCATTTAGGGTTTAGGGTTTAGGGTGGAAAGATACAAAGTGCTGGCTTGGGCCTGACCTTCACCGAGCTGCACCGACTAAACTCCTTTAACCATAGAATTCCAAGAAAGCTACTCAAAGTCCGGCCGGGGTTGTAGTATCATCAGGCGCTTGCTATAAACAATGTTGCCTCGGTTTGGTCCAATCAATCACTTTGCACCCATTGGCCAAGTACCAGACGCACAACCGTTCAGGCTGTGCCCTGAATGCCGAGCTACTTCGGAACTTCAGGATCTTCGACAAATCATGTTTCGGAATCTGTGCTTGAAAGGAGACATGGGTGCAAAGCTGGTTCGGCTATTCCCTAGCAGCCAGCATCGCAAGACTTGCGTGTCAGGCCGATGCGAGAATTGAAACAGTGTTTTGTGAGTGGCCACCACTTCAGACGACATCGCATCCGATCAGGTGGTGGGAACTCTTCTGCCCCGATCGTCACAGATGATGCCTCGGCCCATGAGAAGCAGCTCAAACAAGATCAGGACTGATATGGACTGATAGATTGGAAGGTTTTCAAGTGTGAGTCGCCTCAAATCCCTGTCTCATGTCTTCTTGACCACGTTGTATGCTTTTCTTTGTGCCAGTGAAACAATGGTTTTGTCAGTCAGCGCAGGCACCGCTACCTTTCGGAGACGTTTGCCACGCCCGCCAGCCAAGATCTTGCCTCCAGGAGGAAGTTGGATTTGGGCTCTCGGCACTTTGGCTGAAGGTATGCGCGAGGATCGGAGAGCACGTCGTAGAAATCAGGGAGATCTTGTTGCATACTGGCAAAGCTCTAGTCCTGGCCCCAACTTGTGCCGCCCTGACAATGGTCCCATGGTCGCTTCCAGGCTGCTGCGTGGGAATCTGCCGCCTTCTCACAGCTTTGTCTGGACCGCGAGGCGCAGGGCGGTAGCCAATTGTTGGGGGTAGGACATGGTAGGACTTTTAGGAGAATGGAGGCATTTTGGGCAGCATAAATGTTATAGACTTATGTGACGGAAGGTTTTGTTTTTTTACAGTTAAAGTTGTGGAGCTGCGATCTGAGCAACATTGCCAGCTTTGAAGAAGTACCTACTTGGGAAAGGGCGAGGAAAGGCCGCATTTGTTTGCAGATCTGGACTTTCACGGGGTCAAACAAGGCATGGAACGAAGAACAGGGGATTCTCAACTCGAGGCTGAACAAGCAGACTCGGCATCTGCGGGATGGTGCAAATTTGTCGATGAATTTCGCACTGATATGGGGCTGCCATGTCGAGAACTTAGGGTATCATGTGAAAATCCCACCACTTAGGTCACGTTTGGCTACAATTTGGACTTCCAGATTATCTAACGATTAGCTGTTCATGTTCATTTTTCGAGCTGAGCGAGCCACGGCTGTGCCAAGGTCTAGAGGAAGGACGCCATGGGATGGAACACCCTGAAGGCCTCCTTTCTTGGTGCATGACATGGGGTTGTCTAACGTTTAAACAGTACCTTCCCCCAACATCCAATGTTTGTGGAACTTGTTTTTTGTTGAACCTACGCCGCTTTAATCCATATGTAGCCGACTCGGGATGGGGGGTGTCACCAACGGACGGGCACAGAAGATGTTTCAGCAATGAATTCATCGCTCTCTCTCTCTGATGCATGATTGGAGTTGTCTTGCCAATTGAAAGTATAGGTCAGGGAATTTAGTTCCAACTTCTGCCCGTGAAAACCCCCTAGCTCTGTGTGCAAAGATCTTGATGTATCCATTTGAGACTCTGTTCAATATGCATACGTCGAAACACGCCATGTTATTTTTGTCCTGCTGGTCACTGCTGGTGTCAAACATTGCGGACCTAGGATGATGATCCCCAATCACCAGCACATGGATTCAATCAGATGTATCATGAAACCGTAGCTATCCCAAAGATACAGATTGTTTATTTCCGGATCGCCATGTTCTCGCACAACCTTTGACATGTCCCCGATCCCAAAAATGTCAAGATTTGAGTGGGGTTACCTCTATTGGACCACGGTTAGCCTGCAGTGAACTATAGAAAAGAAACATAACGGTTATTGTGGTTTCAAGCAATGGTTATTCGGATATGATGGTTTGAAAGGGCATTCTAGCAACTCTGTGTGAATATGTGAGGTGTCAAACAATTTCATAACGGTTGGCTGATCGCAAGCAATGACCTGGACCATACATACCATCATCAAAACTGGTATCCCATCTAGCCATGGGGATGAGGGTGGGGTGGAGGGAGGGTTGGTGGGGGTGGGGCGCCAAAATGCGCCTTGGTCCTGATGCACACCTGTCGGCTAGGGGGGGTACAGGGGATGAACGGTGGGGTACCTGCTTTATGCTCCCCAGACACCTATGGCCCGAGGCCTCGGCGGATGTGTTTTTTGCTTTTGAGTTTTTGGTTCAAGGATCTTGCAACACCTGAAATTTGACCTGTCACGTTGAGACCAACAGGATGTGGACTTCAATACATCTGAACCAAGCCAGTTTACGAACCAAACATGTTTGCAATTTCTGGGGTTTTTGAAATCCACGCTAAAAATCGAGTTTCAAACCAAACAGATCTTTAAGAAAAAAAATTGAACCGTGTTGTGACATACAGCCACCAACTGGTGCTGAACACTGAACAGGCTCCAATAGCTCAATCTGTGGCCAAGCATGTGGGCAATTCTATCTCGATCCGTGCATCTTGTCCCATGCACAGACGGGTATGACCACAGCAATCTTGAGCACCAGCAGAGCTTGTAGTACGGCATCAATGTAGTTTTGTCCCCACAAATACGAGCGATTGCTCGAAAGTCGCGTTGTGTTTCTGTTTTTGGATTGACGTTAAGAAGCGACTACTCGCCGCTACTCACGACCACCGTCCTATTCAGAATGCAAACAATGACAGGTCTTGATGCCGGGCTGTCTCCGGAGCAGGCCAGGTTGCTTCAGATTCGGCAGCCCTGCCATATCCTGATGTCTTTTGTTGCGGCTCCAACTTGTGCCGGAGCAGTGTGCATCCGACCTGTGTGCCCCGCAACTTGCTGCTCATAGATGGTATAGAGCATCCTCGGGCAACTACTGTTGTTTTACTGTTGTTTAGCTACCAACAGAAACAGGACATCTATCCCAGGCAAGCGATGAAGCCAAGCTTTACGTGGACACAGTCAACAGTGCATGTGCAATACTTCCCTCGGTCCACGAACGCCATCGCGATGCAGAGACTGCTAGTAAGCCTGCGCGGCTTCCGCTGCAGACCCCTGCTTCCACGGCATCGGGATCTTGGTCGGCTGAGATTTTCCCGAGCACTGTGCCAGGCCACGCGGGACTTTGAGAGCCGCGTGGTGCCAGAAATCGCCAGTGCCCTCAGACTCGGCGGACTGTCGCAAGCGGAGTTGAAGGCAGCCTTCACGTCATTGGACACGGATGCCTCTGGCTCTTTGGACTTGCGCGAAATTTTCCAGCTCATGCAGACATTGGGCCTAGGTGATCGCCGAGCTGATGCGGCTGCAGTGGACCTCATGAAGAAGGTTGACAGCGACGGTGACGGCCGGATAAGCTTTGCAGAGTTTGAGTCTGGCATTGCTGAGCTGGTGGCAGTGCATCGCGCCTCATACCAGCTGGCTATGGCAGGCTCGGACCTGAGAAGCGCACATTTTGCTGCAATGAGCACGTTGAATCTGTCAACGTTTTCCGACCAAGAGATCCAAGACGCGTTCCGAAGGATGGACCAGGATGGTGACGGCCGTGTGGACTTTTCCGAGCTTTCTGCTGTCCTGAGGCACCTGAACTCCAAGTTGGCACACGAGGAGAGTTTGACGACAACAGCTCTTCTAATGCATGAGCTTGACAAGGACAAGGATGGCTTCATTTCGTTTGAAGAGTTTCGGAGTGGAGTTACATCCCTCGCACAGCGTTATGACAATCGGGTGGTGCCGATCTCGGCAGCCATGTTTCTCTCCGGCATATCTGTGGGTGCTGCCACTCCGGCTTTTCCGGTCTTAGGAACAGAGCTGCACTTGTCCGAGGCGCAGTTTGGCTACACAGTCTCAGCCATGGGTTTATCGACCACACTCTCCAGCCTACTGAGCGCTGTGCTGGTCGATCGATACGGCCGCAAGCCTGTTCTGCAGGCAGGCCTGGTATTCCAAGGCATGGGTATGGTCGCAGGAGGGGCCGCTGGATCACTGGAGCCATTTGTGGCTTCGAAGTTTGTCTCCGGCTTCGGCGTGTCCTCGCTGTCTACAGGAAGCACCGTGGCCGTGGCCGACCTCAGCACGCCCTTGAATCGCGCACGGATGATGGCCACCATGCACGGTGGGTTTTCAGCAGGGAAGGTGTTGGGGCCTGCGATCGGCGGCGTTCTAATCGGCTGGATCGGTGCATCAAACACTTTGATTGCAGCCAGCAGCGGCTTCCTGGCTGCTGCCATGTACTCGAGCTTTTACCTGGCGGAGACGATGCCGCAAAGCTTGAAAAAGACATCAAGCCAATCAAGCTCCGTCCAGGAGATGCTCAGGCAAATGATTTCACAGTGGCGATCACTGATAACGGATGGTAAGCTGAAGATGTTGATGCTGCTCAATGCCGTTGGACTGGCAGCACATGCAGGAAGCAACTTTACACTGCTGCCTTTGATGCTGGCTGGTGACCACTTTGCCATGTCCCCGGCAGAAATCGGCTCCGTGTTTGCAGCTCAGGCAGCAATTTCGGTCTTCGGCACTGGTCCGGCGGCTATGCTTATCGACAAGCTGGGACCTGAGCGTGTCATTGTCCCAGCTATATTAGTCACCTCCTTCTCCATGGCGGCATTTCCCATGGCTGGCGACTTGTTGCAAGCTGGGATCCTCCTTGCTGCATGGCAGCTAGGGCGGACAGTCCTGAACTCTGCACCGACTGTCCTTGCCGCCAACTCGGTGCCCAAGGAGAGCCTTCCACAGTGCATGGCCATGCTGAGAACCACTGGCGACTGGGAAGGGTCTTGGGACACTCTCTACGTTTTGGGTTCAGAGGGTCTTCTTGATGTGTATTGCTCAATCGGTTTAAGAAAACCCTAAATTTTAAACCCCTTTACACCACCCTACTCCGACCATCGAACCTTGCCGGCCCAAGGTGATCTTGGGTTCATGCTCGGGGCATCGCTGGTGGGCATTGGGGGCTCCCTTGTCGGGGCTGGGCCCGCCATGCAGAGCACAGCAGCCATCTCTTGCGGAGTCGCAGTCTGGTGTGCGTATATGGAGGGCAGGCAAGTCAGCCATTCCCGGAGACCCAACAACAAATTTTCGTAGACCAATTGAACTTGCTTTCTCAACGAAGATATCGACCCGCGGAATGCGGCAGATACAAAGAGGGATGGGCGGGGTGCTTAATGTGCGTACTGCCGTAGCTGTCAGGGTTTGGTATACATCATCTTCAGGGGCCCCGGCAGGATTGCAGCGGCTTCCTGGTCGACCTCTCAGTGCTGCAACGCGAGCATATCGACTTCTACCAAGGCAAGGGCACCCCTTGTCTTTGCGTCTGCAGTATGGATGTTCACCGTGCGTCTGCAGATGGAGTTTGTTGGGCTCTGGGGCCCTGGGGTGAGGGAGGCTCGGAACTGCATCCCAGGTTGGCAGCTGGCTGGTCCATGCCTCGGCGGTGAGCTTCGCGTACGCCCTCCAGCAGTGGTTATGTTTGCCGGCCACAGCACTCGCATCTGAAAGCTGTCCTGAAAGATTGCCAAAGATTATTTGTGCGATGTTGTTGAGAAGGCGTCGATTTGGGAGTTGTGCAGTCTGTTGAAGCACTGGAGGCTTACTGCGAATCCAGATGTGGGGTGATGCGACCATCGGCGCAAATATGCTGCAGGCCCCATTTTGTTTGCTGAGGTTTAAACCAATGGTTGGCGGGCTTTTCCAGATGCGCCCGAACGCTTGAAGGCGGTGTGCGAGGTCACCATGATATCCTGACGCTCCTTTGAAGCTAGTGCCAGGCATCATGATGATTGGTGAATTGCAAGGCTGTGGCTTCGCTTTGCTCTGCTTTTCGAGGCTCATGTCGGGCTCATGCGTTGGCTGCTAGGTCCTTGAGGTTCGTGTCGGCCATGTCGGTCTGGGGTTTGGAAGCTGCCTAAGCTGACACTTTGTGACTTCGGTGCTCAGCATAGCATGTCAGAGCTTCGCTGCGCCGTTCACACTCAACGTCTCAACGTCCCGCGAGCTTTGAAGTTGTGTGGCTCAGTTTTGATTGCTGCCGGGCCTGCTCTGGCCCTGCCGTGTCAATCTGCTTCACATTGGGGGCGCGCTGATCAGGCCCAAGTTCGCACAGTTAAGGCAGTTAAGGCAGCTGAGAAGGAGCCTTTTCAGTCAATATGGACGCACTGACTCGGACCCCCACCTGTAGCCGACGTGGACTGGGTTTCAATAAAATCTCTTGTGTGCCGTTTCTACACGGGCCCGAGCCTAAAATTCCATACAGCCCACGGCCTGGCCAAGTGCTTCGTCAGCTCTCTTAGAAGGAAGACACGAAATTCCTGATTTAGGCCTTCCAGATTCCCTATACTCGTATCTCGAATCATTCAAGTGATGTTGGCTGAAGTTGTGGAGCCTTGATATTAACCATGTTTGCTGAGAGTTAGCCCGGGCTGGGGAGTAGAGCTGCTGCTTTGTATCGAGGTTTCGGATGCATTTTGGAATGAACCTTCATCTCTAACGCCTCACGAATTGACGCTGCTGCGGCTGCTATGCTATGTTTCTTTTTATGCAGGATAAGGGCTCTTGATGTATAGCACCGCCAAGCCGATCTGGCTTAAACCTGCGATGTAGATTTCACCTCATGCGTTCGAATTTCAACTAAAGCCGATCGAGCGCCAGGTGACGACTTCGTACTGTGTACTGTACCCGGATCTGTGTCAACGTAAGTGTTATTTGTGTTTCTGACAGGGCTGTGTTGCGAGCTGCATGCAATGTGATCTGCAGTTGGCCTGGCTCGACCTTTGTTGGTACTTGTACGTAGATTGCCGTTTCCTTCTTCATCCTCACTCAAAAAGTGCACACTCCACATAAACTATCGCTGCTAGCCTCGCTACCAAACATTTTTCACACACACACACACACACACACACACACACACACACCGAGTGTATACATATGTAAAAATGATGTATACTGGCTATATGAACATAGTATCCTCTGTATCCACCATGGCCTCCTGGCATGCCAAGCGTGCGCTGCCAGCCTGGGGTGTGCCGCCCCTTACTTGCGTCATCATTTCACGGCGCCTGATGCTGCAACCAATGCGTCTGCGCATTGTTGCTGCCCCGACTGAGCTCGTGAGCTCGTGCCTGCACAAAGGCCACAAAAACCATCATGGCCTAAACCGCATTCCGCTCGTTTGCATGCAAAACCTTCTGAAGCAGCCGCTCTAGCTTGAAACCTCCAGCGGCCTATGTAGCTTCTGACTCAAAGACACTGCACGGTGCCTCGCTTTTTGCCTAGGCTCCTGTGTGGCCACTGTGGCATTACAGCTGGGTACAAAGGAGTTCTGCGACGGAACCCGATGAAGGCCAGTCGCTGATGGCTGTCTGGCCCCGCGTGTGGCTCCGTGCAGTGGGGTCGACGAGTGTGATGTTCCGTTATCTAGTGAATCTAGTGCGACAGTGAGCACTGGTGGACCCGGTGTCAAAACGTACTCTCCTAAGTCTACTGAGAATCTGGCAGCGCCAAGATGTTCCTTGGATTTCTGCCGGCCTCCTCCTGGCCGTGCCCGCAAGGTGATCGGACCATGGCTTTCCGACACTGCATGATGTCATGTTATCTTGTGAACTGAGGTCCTGCATGCTAGCAAGGCATGTGCCGGCTCAGCTGCAGGAAAGTACTTGCGCCCTTTGCGCAGGCATAGCTCCATGACTCTGCATCAGGCGTGCACTTTTGCGCATTGCGGCCTCTCAAGACCAAGTTTCATTGCTCCTTGTAGATACTACGTGAGCTTGGACTGCAATCCTCAACTGAGAGAAGCGACTGACGAAATGATCGCACGCAACAAGCGCTTCAATGCTAGTGACTGCTGGTGACAGAGGCGGCTTCGGCTGGAGGCTCTCAAGTCTTTCAAAGGGGAAATGCAATCTGAACCAGGCTTGGAGGAGGCCGTTTTGCGGCGCCGTTTTGGCTAGGGCCTAGCGTGCTGCCCCTGAGCTGCCCCTGATGCGCAAGAGCAGCTGGACTGGCCCCATGCTCCGCATGCTCCTGCAGTGCATGCGCCCTGTACTCTTTGCACTGCCCAGGCTTTGCAAGAAGTCTGGCGACTCGAGCGTGGTGCACGCTGACTCATACCCGGGCCCATCGGACCAGCTTGACTGCGGCCCGGACTGTGCCTCATGAGTTCATGTTTTGGGCCTCCTTCTCAGAGATGAGGGACCAGGGAGGCTCAGGGAGGTCCTGCAGACGTGCAGCCAGGCGGACGTGTGCCGGCTCGGCTAGGTGAAAGTGGTTGCGGCCTGTGTGCAGGCGTCGTGCCAGAAAAGCGCATCAGCCGTGCGCTTTTCGCACCTTGTGGCCACTCGAAACCATTCCACCACGTAGTTTCGATGCTCTTCGCGAGTTTGGACTGCGGGCGGGCGATACAGTCAAGTTCGCCAGGTTTATTTAGGATCTGGCCATTGTTTTAGGCTACGCAGCCACCCGGCATCGTAAGAATAGTTTCGCACTTCATTGCTGGGCCCCCCTTCTCGAGCGGCCCTCAGTTTGATCGCCAGGCCGCCCAAAGAGGCACATGAGCATCAGTCAAAACTCGCGACTCTTGTAAGTTAATTAGGGTGGGACACAGAGCACCAGCACCCTGCAAAGCGACGGGACGACCGGAAAAGCAACACCCCCAGAGTTTTTGACCAGGTTTCAGAGCGACATCCAAAACGACACCCACACGATAGCTTTGGAACCCGAAGTACCTCGGAAAGGCCCTGACCGATCTCAGCAGACGCCCACATGGCTCCTGGCTCATCAGCCGTCATGCTCTTCCTAGGGCCTAGGGTCCTCTTGGGCGGCTTGCACGGAATGCTTCGAATAATCACTCGGCATGATTGTTGCGAGCAGGGTTTGCAGCCTTCATCTCACAACATAACCACATGGCGAACAAGTAAAGAAGCGACTCACCACGTTTTTTCTTGCACCATGCATGGCATCAAGACCCTTGCAAAGCACCGGGACCACCTGAAAAGCGACACCTCCTGACACGCATCCTCCCTCTGCGGGAAGGGAGGGGAGGGGACCTGCACTGAACGGGATCCCATCTTAGCCCTTGGCTAGAGGTTAGGATCCTGCTTGCCGTGGCATGCAAAAGCTGCACGTTGTCAGAAGTTACGCTGGCTGCGACCAGCTTGACTGCAACCCGGATTGTGCCTCATGAGTTCATGTTTGGGAAGCTTTCACAACTTGCGCCTCCTTCGCAGAGATGCAGACGAGCAGACAGGCAAGCCTGGGTAGATGAAAGTGGTTGCGGCCTGTGTGCAGGCGCCGTGCCAGAAAGGATAATCAAATGTGCACTTTTCGCACGTTCTGGCCTCTCAAAACCAAGCTTCATTGCACCATGTAGTTCCGATGCTCTTCACGAGTTTGGACTGCAATCCTCAGACGAGATGATGTAATGTGGGATCCTGGTTTGTAAAGTCAAGCTTGTCAGGATATTTAGGAACTGGCCACGGTTTTAGCGGTCCCCCGCACTGCACCCGGGTGTCGAAAGCATAGTTCGTGCGGAGCGCCTTTGCGCTCAATGGCTGGGCCCCCCTTGTCGAGTGGCCTGCCAGGGGAGCGGCTCTCTTCGAATCGCCGGGCCGCCCCAACAGGGCCCCCCTACTTCAGCCCTCGGCTAGAGGTTAGCATCCTGCTTGCTCTGGCATGTAAAAGCTTCACGTTGCGAGAAGACAGATGTGACGCGCATTGTCGCTTGACTGTGATGCGGACTCTGCCTCATGACTCCTTTCTTGGGAAGCTTTCACAACTTGCGCATCCTCTCAGAGAGGAAGGGCCTGCCCCGACTCAGCTGCATGAAAGTGCTCGCAGCCTTTGTGCCGGCGTCCGGCCAGAGCAGCGCATCAGCCGTGCACATTTCGCACATTGTGGCCTCTCGCAAAGTGTAGTTTCGATGCTCTTCGCGAGTTTGGATTGCAACCCTCAGCAGCTGTAATGTGGAACAATCTTGAATGGGGGGCGCGCTATCAAGTCAAATTTTGCCAGGATATTTACGATCTGGCTGGCCACGGTTTTAGGGGTTCCCTACACTGTCACCCGTGCGTCGAAAGAATAGTTCGCGCGGC